ATGAAACAATAAAGGTGTGAGCTCAGATATCATCAAAGATTTTAAATCATGTCAAGTAATTTCATGTTTGTTTAATATTCAGAAGTCAAAAATTTTGCAATTACTATCTCTAATCTTACTTACTAATCTATCAATTTGCAAGTATAGGTCTTTAAAACGCCTTCTGGACTTTCACGTCTTTAGATCTTTCGTATTTGTATAAAACATGATGAATTTAATACCATAACTGTCATCTTTCTCTATTTAAAAACCATTTTAAACATAAAATATCATATTAGTCAATTTTTATGAAAACGAATAAACACTGGCTTACTTATGTTTTCCCAGTCCAATTAGCTTGAATAATCAGAGCATCAGTAACTCTGTTACCATTAGCTAGGTCTCACTGTAATTATATAACGGGAAATAACATACATATTCAAACTACTTATACTTATCTAAAGATAAGCAAAAATGGTTTAATAATTGGTCATAAACATCACTATTTTTTTCTCTCTCACAATCTACGGTCTTTCTTTATCTACTTATAGCATTCATAGAAAATATCGTAATTTGACAGTTACATGTTCCAGGATTTCTAAGAAACTAATCCTCTTTTCTAATTTAGTCCTGTTAAAAGTAAATGGCTTGCATCAACGCCCGGCATGGCCAGGCGGTTAGGGCGCTCGACTCGCAATCTGAAGGTCGCGGGTTCGAATCCCCGTCACACCCCTTTCAGCCGTGGGGGCGTTATAACGTGACGGTCAATCCCACTATTCATTGGTATAAGAGTAGCCCAAGAGTTGGCGGTGGGTGGTGATGACTAGCTGCCTTACACTGCTAAATTAGGAACGGCTAGCGCAGATAACCCTCGTGTAGCTTTGCGCGAAATTCAAAACAAACCAAACTTGCATCAACATAAGTTGTTGATTTTGTTTTTAAATGTCCGCAGTGAGATACTTAAATTAAATAAAAAAAAGTACTTTATGCTTTATAACGAAAAAAAATTGAGTATTACAGATTAACTCAATTATACCATACTAGTTTCACTCTCAGTATTCGCCATGGTTGACTGACTAGCACATGTATGTCAGAGCACTTAACAACTTGCACCTTCTTGACAGAACAGTGGTGACGGAGGTAGTTGGGTGTGTACTACGTAAAGTAATGTGTATTGATCTAGACTAGTTATCGTTCAGGTGTCATTTTTGACGTTCAGTTATTGGTAAGCGAGGTGGACGAGAAAAACGTTTTAGTTACCTGTAGTCTGCTTCTCATAACCTGTTTTATTTTATCACCCCCTGTTGTTTCAGTTAGAGATTTAGTCTTAAAGCAAGCCGCAGAAGGTGAGTGGTACTTTTAGATGCACAATTTTACGTGTAAAGCTTACGAACAGAGGTTACATCTGATAGACTGGGTATCCCCCTCACTGTATGGATGCTAAGTTTGCACATATCTCTTCTACTATGGTAATTATACTGTCTTTACCCTATAGTTTGTGTTCTAGTTTGTTTGACTTATATTTTCGGCATCATTTGTTTTTGGCCTCATTGTTTTACGTTTGATTTAATACAAGTGTCGTATTTTGTTATATACACACACACACACACACATATATATATATATATATACTGTATTGTCCCTAATTAACGCGTTGCAAACTGCAATGGGGGCGCTAATTATAGTATTTGTTCCAGATTCTATTTGTCACATGTGATTTGTTAATTTCAATGCTAATATGTGTGTGTGTGTGTATGTGTGTGTTTCTTTTTTTTTTCAAACCAAAATT